TGGTTTATGACAAGATGGATGACTATTCAAATTCAATCTTATATTATCGAAAAGACCTCGAAATCATCTGAAAAAAATCTTTCTCTAAATCATCTAGTTTTGGCCATATCGTACAACAACCTTGGTTCTGTGTATTTCAGTATGGGTAACTATTCGAAGACACTTTCATAATACGAAAAAAACACTGGAAGTCCAACAAAAACTTCTTCCTTCAAATCATCCTAATTTGGCTACTTCTTACAACAATATGGGTACGGTATATGGTAGCGTGAGTGATTATGCTAATACAGTTTCATCACATCAAAAAGTACTGGAAATTCGCTAAGAAATTCTTTTTTCATATTATCCAAATCTAGCTAATTCTTACAATAATATTGGCTCTGTTTATTACAACATAGGTGACTATTCCCATCCATTTCGTATTTTATAACGTTCATTATCTGCAAATTATTCTAGTCTTTTAGCTTTGCAAAAGAAACTGAAATTTATAAGAAAAATGTGATTGGTTTTTGTTTTGTTCAAAGAACTATATGTAATGAAGAGAAACGAATAATGTTTGTTGTTTGTATTTAACGAGATACTTGTATGGACGTACAGAGAATCTTTGTGTTAAATAAAGAGCCATCGGATAGGCTGAAGGAAGAAAAATGAGAAGATAATGCTCATCGGTTGAATGATTGTCACAGTTTGAACAAAAATATTTAATTTAAGAATACTCAGTTTTTTTGATGTTCCTAAGGGACGGAACAGGACATTCTGCTAAAAAAATACGGTAAATATACAGTAACTCGGTAGCAATAAGATACTGACTCGAACTCTTTTCAAGAGAACTTATATGACGCATATAGTTCGGACAACAAAGCCGTTTGACACTTTAAAATGTTTCCTCTTAAATTAAATCATTGTTTATGTTCATAACTTAATGTAATATTATCTTTTCTGCATTCAACAGTCTTTATCATAGTTTTCCCAAATGATTCAATCTCAAAATATAACCCAGCCAAAATTTGCAACGGCAAAATGACATTAAAATGATCGAAAATTTACATCATTAAAATGGCAAAAAACTGTCACAAGCAACCCTGTGAAATGCTTTCTTGATAATGCATTAAAATGATTAATTTAATGAAGATAAAATGGCTCAACGTTTACAAAAAATAATGTATAGAAGTTAAACCATTTTAACCATTATAGAATGTCCCAAAAGTCACTTTACACTTAATATTGTATTTAACATATATCTTCAATATGAAGATCGTAAATCTTATTCATATATATACTTGTACTCAGGAGTAAGATACATATAACCACTAATATTCTTGCTTCGACAGCAATAATTTCTTGAATAAAAATACAAATATATCTTATGTACTTGTGTATGATTGTAACAAAATTTAGTGGTTATGCTGATTCACTAAACTTTCTAGTTGAGAACTGTTAGGATACTATGTAGTCCGAGAGAACGAGACAAGATATTGCATAAGAACGCGCTTGATATTCTGCTTTAATACTGAGAAGCTTCGTTGGAAATGACCTCATTGTATCCTAACAGTTCTCAACTAGAAAGTTTAGGGAATCAGCATAACAACTAAATTTTGTTACAATCATACAGAAGTAAATAAGATATATTTGTATTTTTATTCAAGAAATTATTGCTGTCGAAAGCAAGAATATTAGTGGTTATATGTATCTTACTCCTGAGTACAAGTATATATATGAATAAGATTTAAGAACTTCATATTGAAGGTATATGTTAAATACAATATTAAGCGTAAAGTGACTTTTGGGACACTCTGTACATAGATAAAGAAATGTTTTAAACGAAACTATAAAGACTCTATTTTGGAATTAAGAAACTAGAATATGGTGCAAGAAGTTATGCGATTGTGTTGGATCGAGAAGGTGAAAATTCTATGAAATACTTTAAATCATAAAGAATAGTATATTCTCATCTAAATAAACGACGCGTGCAGGTTTTTTCAATTTAATTGAAACAACATTGTCAGTTAGATCTAATGTTTATATCACATATATGAACGTGAAGATACTTAATGTATATCGAAATGTCAGTAATTGACTACAGTAGTCGTCTAAAAAAGGAGAAATATCTCATGAAATATTTCATCAGCGAACGAATGATTAATCTATGTACGAAGTTTTCCAAATATTCAACTCGTCTTTTCATTTATTCTCTTCTTCGTACAAGAGATATCGTACATATTTTACTCAGTATAATCATCTGTATAATGACTATTCGTATACTTTTTCACTTATATCAATCGCTCATGTACGTTACTCGTCAACAGGCAGAATTTTATTCAAATAGACTTAAAACATGTCTTCCTGTTTTATTCAAAATAGGATATGAAACAGATATCTTTGTTTTGTAGCAAACTGCTATAATTTATCATTGACGTCTCCGGGGTGTTAGATATTATTAGTCGTCAACTCAAAATTTAATTACAATATCTAATACTCAATATGGTTTCGAATAAATTGAAAAAGCCTGGTGTCATGCTCATTTCAGTCAGAAACATATGAGAGAAGTAGACCGTACTGGTAAATTACACAAATAATTTATTTGAATGAAAAATTCTCAAACATGTAGATTGCTCGAAATCAGAGGATCGTTCTTTTTATTACTATTATTTCGTTTATAGTGTAAAATGTTTGAGGGTATTATATAAAGAGACGACTAGCATGCTACAACCAGACCATTCATGTTTCGAATGAATCGAATTTAGGTTCTTCTTTCCTTTTCTATCTGTGTTCTTTTCTTTGTTCCAAGACAAAAACGATCATTGACCAATAGAAATAAACCAATCAGATAATTTAGACATAGAGAAAACAGAATATTAAGACAGAAAAGAAAAAATATTGTTTAAGTGATCGCAGAAGTATAAATGTAAACAGATATATTAATAATTGCATATATGAAGATGATGATAAAAATGCAATTATCTCAAAATGAAAATTTGTTCGGAATAAAAACTATGAATGCTGTGCTTCATTCATGAAACAAAATATAAAAGACTAAAACTTCCGATTATTCATTCATCAATGGAATATACTTTGCTCTTAAACCAGTGTTTTGAAGAAATTGTGACATGGAGGTTAAGAACAACTTAATGAAAAAACCTACAGTTAAGTTGAAATGTTAATCTAACAACTGATAATACATTTCTTTATGAAAAACTATAAGTAAGCATAGACATTTTAGGTCAGTTGATCATTTTACGTAGATGGATGTACAAAAGTCAACACATACATGTAAAACCGCTGTTAATCTATACTACTGTTCCCTCCTTCGAAACACAAATGTAAATATTAAAGGAGCAAAATTAGTCTCATACAAAAAATATTAAACATGTCCAATTAAATACTTGGTATGCTTAAATAAGTATGGAAAAATTGGCAACACACGTTTATCTTTGTTGTTTTTACATTTTCATGTAGGTTTTTGAAGATCTATCTTTTTTGTATATTAATTTGAGCATAGATATTTCTGCAAATAGGGGAAAGTGAACACAACTATGATAGACAAGAAATAACCTTCCTATTTTAAAAGAAAGCAGCATAGAAGAAGAGAACACTATACGTTAGTCATAGCTGATTGTATCAATTAATACTGTATAAAGCTGTGTTATACTATTTTGAGAAATAACGTCACAATGTAAAGCAATTATCTAAGTTATTGATATAGAAATAAAGCTATTAATATAGAAATATATTTTTAGAAGGATCCAGAGTCAGATAAACTCTTTTAGTAAAACAATGAGGTAAACGTCAATCATGTCAACAGGTTTCCATAGATGTTCTCAAGTGTTTATTATTATCCAGAGTATTCATGTAAAAAATTGAGAATACTTCAGTAACAAAGTATCATTAGAGAAAACGAATTTTGTATAAATATTTATAAATTTTCAGACTAATTCGTCATGGATTGAATATATTGTTTCGTCACAAAGGTGTGGTCAAATAAAAATTAACTATGCCTATTCTGATTTTTCTGACTATTTTAACTTAATAAATAAATTCAATAAGAATAATGGTAATCTTAACTTGATTTGAATCGGAAGCAATAACTTTTAGCTTTATCCCTTGTAATGTGTTACGTACCGATGAATTACAATTTTGTTTTCAAACTAACAAATCAGCTTCATTCAAATTAGAAGTCTAATTTTATTTGCGTGCGGTTTTAGAATATGATCGAAATTCTGATTTTATTCAAATATAGAGAAAACGTAAATTCTTAATCTTTTATACTATACCTTTGATGACTTCGTTTACCTCATTGCTTTAGAAGCGTTTTCGTTCTTTACGAGCCCGAAAAAACAGTGCTAGGCCAGTTGCCTATGATGTACCGTTCATTTGATGAATAAAAATAAGATCCATGGTCTTTAGAAAAAGCGGATGCTATTTTTAACTACGAGCATTCGATCTCCAACAAAGAAATTTTAAATTCAGTGGTATTATGAAGAGTACGATTCTTCCTAATTCGACGCTTTTCAATTCATTATTAAAAACCATGAAAAAACTAACTATTTCTAACTACTTCTATGTTTGACTTCATAAGGATCGGAAATTGCTCTTGACTTTTAGCGTGAGTTTCGAACTATATTCTTGAATGTTATGGAGAATTTAAACGGTTGATAAGAAAAGTCCAAAAAATTATATAATTTTTAGAAAATATAAACATATTTCTATTAGCTGAAAATTTCGAAAAAATAGACTTTGTGATCATAAAATGGTCAAAATAATTTAATAATGAATTGATATGCATTTTAATGGTCATTTTAGCATTATTCATCTTTAAAAGTGCATTTTAATGGTTAAAATGGTCTAGCTACGGAAAATAATGCATTTTAATGATCATTTTTCCATTATTCTTTTGACTGGGAATTATGATAAAAAAACAAGAATATTTTATTAATTATATGCAACAATTAAAAAAATCAGCACTATTTTATCATTCATTCAAGATCCTAAAAGGATCAATTTCATAATTCACCGATTAGATCATAATTCATTCCAGCGTTTTTTAATTTTTCTATTGATGTTAAAAACATTGATTGTGTTTTTGTATGCCAAACATAAATCTAGAATTATAAAAATTTATTTATATATTAATCATATAAAACATGATTATTACTTTTGAAGCATTATTAGCTAAACATTCAAGTTGATCCATTGTTGTCATTGTATCAAGTATTTGAGATTCTTGTTCAGCAATACTATTAGTAGTTACATTAAATATATAATTTGAATATTGATGAATAAGACGTAAATGAATTGCAAATCCAGCCATATCAGTTGGAAATTTTCTTTTTCGATAAATGTAATGAAACCATGAATGAACCTATTATCCAATATAATCTCACAAAAGGAAACAATCAGATTTAAACTTACTTTTCCATTTAAACAAACTGGACGCTCATATAAAAGTTCACCAACAAGTCCTACTGGCCAAACACCAACTGATTGAACTTTTCGAATCTATAAAGAGAATTCTTGATAATTTAATCATATATTTATAATCAATCTACTAACCAATCCATTACCTCTTGAAATAATCTCCAATGATATGAATTGTCATCATCAGCAAAATAGATAAGTGCATCATCACTTGAATTCGTATTTTTACGTATCCATTGAAGACCAACATTTTTTTGAAACAATCCACGTGGTCGACGCCATGTTGATTGATTTTGTGTTGGTTTTAAATAATCTGGTGTTGCAACATTTAAATGAATAAATGGTAAATGAAATGATTGCAATAAACGATGCATACGTCTTGTGAGTTGAGGTTCATCTTCGACAACAATCCAAACAAGATTTGGAATCTAAAATTATCCATCGAGTTATTAAGAAAAAGAAAACAAATACTCATTGTTTTAATGTTTTGTTTTTACCAAATAAAGTGTTTGTGCAAGTCGTGTTAAATCAGCTATTTGTTCAGCTCGTGTTTTTGTTGGTGTAATCATATAAATCTTACGTATTGATAATGGATCATTCCAACTTTCTTCAATTGGTTTAACTAAACCTGGATACATTTTCGATAGTTGTTCCCATGGTTTAATATCTTGTTTCTTATCGATATTTTTCACTGAAAAAGCGAACGAAAAAAATGAATATAGATGAAATTTAGAAAAACAAAAAAAAACACTTTCTTACTGTACATTATCATGAAACTGGTTGTTATTAGATATACGATCAAAAAAATCAAAACCACAGAATATGATGAAAGATATCGACGACACTTTATATGCATTCTTATTTTGAAAAAGAAAACAGAATCATTGAAATGAAAAAACAATGTTCAATATGGAAGTTTCGGTAAAGGATTAAAATTTATTGCATATAATCGATTCTCAGATATGAACAACAAAACTTGAGGCAATAATCCATGATTCACTTATATTAATTGTCAACTTACAGAAATTGTCGATAGATGTCTCTCGGGAGTGGATTGATTCCTTGAAGCTTAATCATTATGTATCTTGCTTCTCTTTTCTCTTCATATGACATTTTCGGTTCTCAATCGGATGTAGCTGATAAATTCGACGCTAATTACATTAGTACTGTATAACAGATAGTCATTCTAGTTGCTGATGCATATCTAATACTTTCTTTGTCAGTTTGTTTTTATACTGTTGCATATAATTCGAAGTTGTTTAAAAATCATTTTGGAAAACTCAGTTGTGACGAAAACCAGTACTGTTGTTCAATCAATCAACCATTTGCAGTAGCATCTAATACACAGACTTATTTACTTAATGAATCCGATAAGAATCAATATTTTACGTTCGTGTAATTAGAGATATTCTGAGGTGTCTACGATCAGGTAAGAATTACCTCAGTTTTCTACCGTGGCGAAGAAGAGAGATTAGTCAATATGAGACGACGAATTTCTACTATGAATTTTAGAAAACCAGAGTCCATCAGATTGGTGCCGAGCTCGATCAGATCCAAACATTTTGAATTCGACAGGTTCTATTTGGGACACAATTGAATACAGCAGAAAAATGAACTTACTATTAGTCTACTGTTATTGATGAAAAAAAAATGGTATTATTTCAAGTTTGTGTTTCTTTGTGCTTTCAACTCTTGCATTGTTAGTTTTTTCTTTTTTATCATAAGGTTTTACTTTTTGGAACTCGTCAATTTTTTTTCGTATGTATATATATGGTCATGCTATGTTGTTTCTCATGATTATAATGTTTTTTTCTTTTTATCTTGTCAGATGATGTTATTAGACGTTCTATTCCACGTGTTTTCATTATTCTAGCATATTAATGGATTGATAGATTTACTATTTATCTTAATCAATTGTGCTGTTGCTGTGTGATTATCAGTCATTCTTTTTGAAAAATTGTAATTGTTTACTTTATAGTTCTTTACAATAGTGAGACTTAGAATTTGTGTTTTTAATCAAATATAAGCTTTTATTAATACTTTGTATTCATTACTTATCAATATCATTTTCTACTCTTTTCAAAGTACCATTGAAACATAGCCAAAATGTATGTGATCCTGTTCAGACAACAGAATATCGTTATCTTAACTGTCTGAGTTTCTTATTATAAAACAAGTGAGTATCTATATTCTTTGAAATGACCACTTTGCATTTTTCTTTAAATCTACGTATTGATTGCAATAACGTACATGCATATGTTACATTCATGAACGGCATTGTCAACATGAATTACTTTGACCTCTCCGATAGAAAATGTCGATGAAACACATTTATGTAAATATTTTCTCTTTCATCAATTTTGTGTTTTACTAGCTGTTGATGAACAATATAGCTTAAGTAAGGAACAATTCTCAGGAGATCCATTCAATGCGTTAATGAGCACACCAACTCTTGATATGGAGAAAATAAATCAGTTTTTGCTTGTGGCGCTTGAGAAATAAATTACCAATAGAAAACGTATTTACATCTTTCATGATAACCAATAGAATATTTTCTTGAAGAAGATTCGAGTCTGTTCATCCAATAGAATATTAATAATAAAGAATCGCCATTGTTTGTTTCGACAGTAATTCATATAGATCGGTAACTGTTGTTTTTAGAAAATCTGTCGTACAGATGACATTGAATCGATTATAACAATATTCAATAATATTGAAAATATTTCTCGAAAAGAATTTAATGAAATTCGAACTGATAAAAATCATCTTTTCGATTGCTTAAATTTTGCAATTAATAATCGTAATATGAATTTTATTATTCACATTCATGTTTAGCATGTGATTTTTTATTTTTATTTTTTTGCATTTAACTTTAATCATGAATTTTTATAAATTATTTTAGATTTTAAATTAAAATACAAATGGCTGCAGTAGTGGAAGATAGTCCAGTTGTTCTACCAAAAGAAGTTTGTCTTTTGTTTTTTGTTTTTCTTAATACTTAATGAATATTTAATTTTGAAAGGAAGACCTTAATCGAAATGTTCATCAAAATTATATCCTCTCATCTCAATATGAATCACTTGATAGTGATGATTTATATACGAAATATAAGGTTTAATTAATCTAATGATGGATTATAAGTTGTTCTAAGGAAAATATTTTGAATTTAGAAACTTCAACGTCAACTTGAATTTTACGAAGTACAAGAAGAATATGTTAAAACAGAATTAAAAAATTTAAAAAAAGAAATGTTACATGCACAAGAAGAAATAAAACGTATTCAAAGTGTTCCACTTGTTATTGGACAATTTCTTGAAGCAGTTGATCAAAATACTGGTATTGTTGGATCGACCACTGGTAAATATGTTTTCTTTCTCAAAATAAAACTCTCTTAGTTATAGATCAACAAAACATTGAATATGATTTTATATACCGATTAACGTGATCAATGACTACCTGCATATCTTTGCTTACATTGTTCTATAGTTTGTTGATAGTAGAGATATGCAGAGTAAGCTTTTTTCGTATTCTGACTGAGCGAAAATTTTTGATCTTCACCCTACTATAACCTGCAGGGTAGAGTAACCCTGTACATCGGTAGTTAATCATACAAAAATATTCAGATTTTCGGTTCTTGCATAAAAATTTCATTTCAAAGATGTTTTATGAATGATATTTATCGTGTAATATCTAAAGTTTATGAAAGTAGTATTAAACGCAATGTTTAATTACTTATGTGTCACATTAATTGTCACGCAAACCTTTTTGAGACAAAATATCACTAAAACATAAGATATATTTCTGAGACAATACTCAGTTATCGAAATTTTACTTAAATCATGATGATGCGTAAAAAATTAATATACTTGATGTGACTTTAAATAAATCATTGTCGTTTATTTTTTTTTATTATTTAGGCTCAAATTATTATGTTCGAATTTTATCCACTATCGATCGTGAACTTTTAAAAGCTGGAGCTAGTGTTGCTTTGCATAAACATTCAAATGCACTTGTTGACATTCTACCACCAGAATCCGACAGCAGTATATCAATGTTACAAGCTGGTAATAGGATGAAATTGTTTGTTTTTTTTATAGGAAATACATCTATGAATTTTTCTTATAGATGAAAAACCCGATGTTGATTATTCGGATATTGGTGGATTAGATTTACAAAAACAAGAAATTCGTGAAGCTGTTGAATTACCATTAACACATTTTGGTAAATTTTAAAAATCGATAAAAATTTTTTTCATATTGTTTTTTTTTTATCTAAGAATTGTATAAATTAATTGGTATTGATCCACCACGTGGCGTACTTATGTTTGGTCCTCCAGGTTAATGAATTATTTAAATATTTTCTTTTATTAAAGATGTTTTTTTCTTATAGGCTGTGGAAAGACAATGTTGGCTAAAGCTGTTGCTCGACATACGACTGGTTAGAAGATTTTAATATTGTTGATATTCATTTTCTATTGTTTGATGTATTTTTTTACAGCTTCATTTATTCGTGTAGTTGGTTCTGAATTTGTTCAAAAATATCTTGGCGAAGGTCCTCGAATGGTTCGAGATGTGTTTCGTCTTGCTAAAGGTATGAAACTATTCAATATATATCTCTTAATACATATTAATATCTTATTAGAAAATTCTCCTGCTATAATTTTTATCGATGAAATCGATGCAATTGCTACAAAACGTTTTGATGCTCAAACAGGAGGTTAGATTTTAAATACTATTATTTTATAATTCATCTTATTTTCTTTTTATAGCTGATCGTGAAGTACAACGTATCTTACTTGAATTACTCAATCAAATGGATGGTTTCGATCAAAGCATTAACGTTAAAGTAAATTATTCATAAGGGGATCCTTCTCCTTTTTGAGACTTCTGAAGAATGACTCATCAAAGATATTTGAAAGTTTCATGATAGACAAATCTCAATGAATAGAGTAAAAGTAATCATAGACTTCAAATACTTTCTTTTAGAAAGTATCTGAATCACAAGAGCCAAAAAATTGCCCTATTTTCTTAGTCGCACTACATTCGACGGAACTGGAATTTTTTTTTCGAGATATTAGACACTGCCTGCACTGCAAAGGTTTCTTGATTTCTTTTTATCTCCTTCCATTTTAATGATAAAATCAAAATACTGAATGTACCTTCAAATAATACACAAAACAGTGTCTAGTACGTGTAATAAAAAGTTTCAACTCGATTCAACATACTATGTCGGAGAAATGAAGGCGATTTCGAGAAAAACGAAAAGAAAATTCTCCTGTGTGTATCAGAACTTTTCTTCTCGAACTAAAATGATCGAAAACTGGTCATGTATTGCGGTGTTAGAGATCCACGACACATACACTCAGGAAATTGAGAATGAGACATAATCATTATCATTTGAAAAATTTTGAATACAAAAGGTAAACGTAGCACAAACTTTTCTGCTAGGGATTTTGAGAGTTGGTTTTAATAAAAGTGCTAGCTAATAATGAAGAATCATCATCTGTATATAATTTGAGAGAGAACATTTCGAAACTATATCAAAAATCGAAACAACTTAGATGGAGACAACTAAATTTTTTTAAGGTTATCATGGCAACAAATCGTGCTGATACACTTGATCCAGCTCTTATTCGTCC